AGAGAGAGAGAGAGAGACCCGATCACTGCAAAGCTGGTGCGTTAGACCATTGCCACGTGATGGCAATTCTCAGAGATCAGCTACTGACTAAGCCTGCCCCTCAGTGCTCGGAGAGAAAAAGGAAGTGGTTGGGAAGAGGCTAACAGCACGTGCGGAGTAAGGGTGACCCTCTGCACGTGGCCGGCTAGCCAGCTCTGCCCACCTCAGCCAGGCTGACACAGTGAGGTTCGTTTCTTTCCGATGTCCAAGAGGGCTCAGGCTGAAGGCACAGTCCCTTAAGCTAGGATGTCTGCCATCAGTCCCTGTACCCTGCCTGAGCACCCCCTTGCTCAAAAGGGCAGTGTGCTTGATCCATCACTAGGGTGACCAGGTCTCCGAGTGGGTGCAAATGAGTACAACAGGCACCACTAAAGATTCTACAGGTAGAGACAAGGAAAGTGACCTTGGAGAAATGCGTGTGGTTCACTCTACATTTGTGTGGAGTAGCTAGTGGTTTGGAGGGGCGGAGTGGGAGCTCCTCACATTAAAGGTAGGTTGCGTATTAAAAAGTTTGCGCTTCTCCAAGAGCGGTTTGGCAAACACAGACACTCATGCAAACCCTTTAAACATCTTTTTTCCCCCATTTACTTTCCTTACCGCTTACCCAAAGCCAAAGCCAACTGGAGCAAACACCCGATGACCTTCACGTTCACTCGTCACTTGTCATGGCATCACTACTGAGCCTCTGAGGTCCTGGCCACTCAGAAAAGAGCTCACAGCTAGCCGTCAGAAGTCCTCTCCCAACTGCGTCCCCATGTTCTCTCCTTCTTCATGGCCCATCATCTCCCCGGAGGCTGGCACTCCCCTGGCCTCTTGCACAAGCAACAGAGCCCACGTCCGGCCCGAGACTTTGTGATCAGTTGTCCTGAGAATTCCCCAACTCGCCCACACTCAGCCCCATCAAGTTCCCAAAACCAATTCCTTAGGAAAATCCACAGGCCTTGGTACAGACGGGAGAAGCCAATCAAGGTTACTTCATGATCTTTGGGTGTATTTCTTTTGGGGCCCACTTCCGTTGGGATGACTTCAATGAAAATGCAAAGGGAACCTGGAATTTTCCCCTTCTGTAGTCTACACCCCATGGAGCGGCAGATTCCCAGAGTGCAAGGGTCTGCCTGGCCCATTGTTCTCTATTCAGAATTGCCTCAGTAGCATGATAAAATACATGTGAATATCACACACACACACACACACACACACACACACACGCACACCTGCCTCTCTTCAAGGGCCAGGGCAAAAGGAGACGAGAGGGAGGGCAAAGCCAGGATGGGACTGCCCCAGATCAATGGATATTTGAAACGCAAACACATGGCCCGGTCCTCCATTGCACGTGTTAATTACCACACATGTGCCCATAAAGGACTTGGTGAAACACGGGGCCCAAAGAACGGAGCAAAGAGAGGCCATTCCAAGGGATTAAGTAAATACTCTAAAGTTTTGACCCCCTTCCCCTGCCTGGGGCA